AATCATAGAGTAGTAGTTCAGCAGCCCTTTTATCTGGCAATATTATGGGCAACAGAGCCCAGTTATCTATCAGGACAATTTCTAGATCACAGCCATATGGTCTGTATAAGTGAAACTGCTTGTCTTCCTATCTCACCTTAGAGATATCAGACCACTAGGGAATGACTGATTGCCCTGGCAGTTCCTAACTGGTTCCTCTGTAGGACGATGTGTGCTTTGTGTGTGTTAGTTAAATGGAGAGATGTGTATGGGCAAATGAACTGATGTTTCCACCTGTGATTGTTTTAATAGGTCTGTCCATTCTGTGTTGACTTGTCTCCTTTACTTATTGGTTCCCTGCAGTTCTTTATATATTCTGGTTCCCAGTTGTGTAATCCCATTTGTGACTTGTATTCTTGTCTTGAACTGAAAACGTTTTATTATTAAAAGTTTCAATGTATTAAACCCCTGTTACCTCCATTGCTCAGCTTCAACTGTGGTCAGCATTTTGCCCATCTTAGTTCCTCCATTTCTTACTTTCCTGGAGCTTGTAACCACCATGTCATTTTTCCTATCAATCCCTTTGGTGTACATGACTAAAGGAACTGAAGAAGAAATCAAAGTTAATTCCTCCGTATGCAAACTTCCCTTGCTGGTTTACAAGGTTCTCTGTGTTTGATTTACGGAGCTGGGAACCAGGCAGCTTCTGCACATTGCAGTGAGTCTACTTTCGCTCATTGCTTGGAATGTGTGAGTCTTGAAAGCCTCTTGCTTTATAACACTTTATATCCTTCTGCTGCTGTTGCCTTCTTAGTAGAAGTATGGCTTCAAGCATACTGAGCCAGACCCTCAGCCCCAGCCCTTATTTCTGGATTAATTTTCCTATGCAGTATCTTGCAATAGTGGTTAGCTTGTTCTGTTGGTCCTCCATATTTCCAGGAAAATGGCATTAGAAGTACAAACTTGGTTACGTTTAGATTAACTTTTCCTTTTTTATTTTATTGGGGTTTTTTGTTTGTTTGGTTTTTGAGACAGGACTTTTCTTGGTAGCTCTGGCTGTCCTGGAACTTGCTTTGTAGACCATGCAGACTGGCCTCGAACTCACCGAGATCTGCTTTCCTCTGCTCCCTGAGTGCTAGGATTAAAGGCATGCGTCATCACTGCCTAGCTTAGATTAACTTTTCTTTAGGTAGAATATGTTATAGGTGATGATATGGGTGATTTGTGTGTGTGTGTGTGTGTGTGTGTGTGTGTGTGTGTGTGTGTGTGTGTGTGTGTGTTCGTTCTCATCCTACTTCATCATCTTTTTTTTTTTTTTTTTTTTTTTTTTTTTTTACATAAGCTCTTAACTATGTAGCCCTGGTTGGTCTAGAACTCCCTATGTATTATAGACCAGGTTGGCCTCAAATTCATAGCAATCCTCCTGCCTAAGTCTTCCAATTTTGAGGATTGCAGATATGTACCAGCATCGTTGCTATTTTTTTAATTAGTTTTCTAAGTATTAATTTACTGTCCTAGAAAGTGCCAGGAGCTAGGAATCAGCAATTTTGTACCCATACCTTGAGCTCCTGTGACCACAGGGTAATAAAAAGAGAGACTGATACTTGTGCCTGCTGTGGGTTCTTTACAGAAGAGGAACTAGGGATTGAACATGTCTATCCTCTGTCCAGAGGGAGGTTGCTGTGCCTCCCAGGGCTCTGGGTATGTGGGCATCCTGGAATGGAGTCCATAGAAAAGCCCAGTTGCTGCTTCATTGTGCAGAGTGTGCGGTCATGGGAGAACTTGTAGACACCTGTCTCGATGACCTCCATCTACTGCTTTCTTTTAGTGGTGCTGGTGTTTTTAAGACAGGATTTCATGAATTCCAAAGAGGCCTTAAACTTCCTATGTAGCCAACTATTGCCTTGAAATTCTTACTTTTCTACCTCCACTTCCTGAGTGCTGGGATTACAGGCGTTTGCCAATTATATGCAGTTTTGTGTGGTGCTGGGTATCAAACCCAAGGCTTCAAGCATACTGAGCCAGACCCTCAGCCCCAGCCCTTATTTCTGGATTAATGTTGAAGACTAGATGGAAAGGCAATATAGAAAACCCCAGAGCCTTGGGCTTGCCAGACTGTGGTGCTGATTAGATATCAGATGCTAGGGGCTACAGCTAATATTAGTACCGAAGCTTGCACCCATTTCATTGACAGCAATTTAATTGAATTAAATGATGTATTAGACAGAATGCATGGAGTTAGTCTTAATTTGTCAGGGCTAACAACATGGAGACCTCATGGGAAAACTCCCCAAAAGTCAAGACTGTTAAAAACTTTGTTTTCATTATTTCATATTTTTCTTTATGGCTGTTTTTAGGCCTTAGGTACAGTAGAATTTATTCTTGTATATATCCGTTGGGGGGGGGGCTTTTGTTTGCTTTGGTTTGGTTTGGTTTTTCGAGACAGGGTTTCTCTGTATAGTTTTGGTGCCTGTCCTGGCTCTCACATTGTAGACCAGGCTGGCCTTGAACTCAGAGATCTGCCTCGCTCTGCCTCCCAAGTGCTAGGATTAAAGGAGTGCACCACTGCTGCCTAGCTAAGATTCCGTTTTAATGAATTACCTTATCATTACTGATTTGTTTATTTACTTATTTGGTTTTTTGGAATCCATTTTGTTTGTGGAAGTGTCATGTGTAGCCCAGGCTGGCCCTGAATTTCCTGTGTAGTTAAGCTGTTCTGGTATGTCTTGCACCATGACTGGATGAGTCCCCAGCCCTGTGCTTTCCTGGTGGTCTGTGGTGTCTCATATACATTTTAGGATCTCTGCTCGTCACTTACACACACAGGGCCCAGAGTTTTTCTTAGAATCATAGTGCATATGTACAGATTGGGAGTTTAATCTGTGTAATAGTAAATGCGTTAGCCCTTGTGCAAAGTGTGGCGCCATCTTCCTATTTCAGGAGCATCTTCTTACTAAAAATAGGACAGGATAGGTAAGATGCTCAGTGGGTAAAGGCTCTGACTGCTGACAAACCTGGGACCCACCTAGTGGAAGGGAAGAAAGGAAAGAAGGAAGGGAGGGAGAAAAAAAGAAAAAGAAAGGAGAGCAAGCCCTGAATGCAGAAATGTATTTGAGATGAATCTAGATCATAGACGTTCGTGTGAAAGGCCAAACCATAAAGCATTCAGAAAAAAATTGTTACTCTGAAGGAGGCAGAGATTTCTTAGGTTGTATAATACATGAGTAACAGAAAGGAAAATGATAAATTACTGGACTTAATATTTAAAATTTTCTCATCTAAAGACACTATTAAGAAGTAAGCTGACTCAGGAGAAAAATGTCCATGTTGTGTATGTGACAGAGGAAAAACACAATGTGTTTTTAAGGTTGGTAAAAATATTTGAATAGGAAGCCACACGATGGCTAAAGCATAGATTGCTCAACATCATCAGCCATCCAGGATATGCAAAGCAAAATCACAGATGTCACAAGTGTGACTAAAATGGAAAAACAAGGTAAAAGCCATCAGCAAGCCCTGGGAATGGTGGAGACCCATCGTAACCTTGACTTTCTGATGTTGGCGTATAGAGTCATGGAGCTGTTTGGGAAACTTTCCTAAATGGTAAGCAGATGTCATGTTTATTCTCAGATATTAGCCCAGAGAAATGACAAAATATGATCAAGAAAACCTTGTTTGAGACTGTCAGGATAGCAGTTGTATTCAGAATACCCCCCACAAATGAAAGGTGCCGGTGCCTGCCAACAGAAGGAATTACAGACTTCTGTGTGCACATGGTGGAATTTTACTTAGCAGAAAAAGCCAGACTGCTGCTACCGCCAGTATTGTGGACAAATCTCAGCAACTTTCTGCCAAGTGAGAAAAGCCAGACAAAAATTAAAAAATGTACCACTGCGTTTTTGTGAAAGTTTAAAATAGATGAAACTAAACTGTGGTAATAGAAATGAAATCAGTGGTTGCTTGGGGAGGCAGGAGCTGGCTGGGGAAGGAGCATTATGGGAAATCATGAGTCTTGATGGTAGTCAATTTGCGTGTATGTGTGAGCCGACTGGCAAGACAAGATCTGAGCAATTTGCTGTCGGCATAATGCTTCAGTTTAACAAACAGTGACCTGCGTCTTTACTTCAGGAGCATCTGTCTAGAGTTGAAACAGTGGGCAGCTTGTGAGTATTTCTTTATAGTCAGGCCTTCTCTTTAATCGCGTTAACAGACGGGCCTTTTTCCTAAACGCTTTACTAAGTTTGAGCTTTTGGCCTACTGTGTGTGCAGCCTGAGGAACTATTTTTAGCACTTCTCTGAGTTCGAGAGCAGTTTCTGTAAATATGGGAAAGATGACCTTACAGGTATTGACTCACTCACCCAGTCCTTACCTGTGGTGCCAATCTCCAGAGCAGTGGCTCTCAGTTGTTTCTCCTGTGGTCTTCTCACATGCATTTGGTAGTGTCTAGAGACATGGTCATCGTCACGATTCGAGAGACAGATGCTGTGTACTGGCATCTAGTGGGTAGAGACCATCCTGTACTGCAAAGGACACCCCCACCCCTGCAGAATTGCTTCGTCCCACATCACATGGCGCCAAGTCTGGGAACCTTGTTCTAGGCCTCTCCTTGTCACTGAAGTCAGTCTGTCCACTGTTGGCTGTAGTCCGCGTCACTGAAGTCAGTCTGTCCGCTGTTGGCTGTAGTCCGCGTCACTGAAGTCAGTCTGTCCGCTGTCGGCTGTTCCCCGCCCCAATCAGTTGTGCAGACTTGGCGTGTTCCCATTACATATCTCTCCCCTGACTGAAGTGCATAGCACGTGTTTGTAAGTGTGTGTCATCTCAACTATGGAGGTAAGTCCGTGCATCAGAAGCCCTTCCAACTGTGCATCGTGTGTGTTGACTTAAATGTAAGAGCTCCAGGTTTTCATTACATAGCCGGATAGGACCTCACTGCTTCCCTTTAAGGAGGGAAGGTGAGGGCTTTCTTCTCGAATCAGAGGATAGCAAAGGTAACAGTTCTCTTTTATTTCTTCCTCCACAGAATGACGGGAAGAGAGTTTTTCTCACGCTTTCCAGAACTGTATCCATTTCTTCTCAAACAGTTGGAAACTGTAGCCAGTACAGTGGACAGGTAAGGCAAGAACATACTGGATGAAGTGTAGTCACAATGCTTGGACAGGGTGGCTCCTGCCTGCAGTCCCAGCCCTCAGGAGATGGAGATAAGAGGATTGCCACCAGTCTAAAGCTAGCCTGGGCTACACAGGCAGATCTTTCTCAAGAAAACAAATCCTGGGAGAGGAGGAGCTGTGGAGAGATGGCTCAGCAGTTAAGAACGCTGTCTGATATTCCACAGGACCCAGGTTCACTTCCCCACACCCACATGGTCTCACAACTGTCTAAATCCAGGTCAGGGGATCCAGTGCCGCCTTCTGGCCTCTGTAGGCAGCAGGTACAGTGAGGTACACAGACATCCATGCAGCAAACACCTGTCCGCATAAAATAAAATAATGAAGTGAAGAACAAGCAAACACTGGAGGAGATGAAATGACTCCGTGGCTTAAGCCTGACCCCTGAACTTGATTTCTAAGACCTGCATTGTGGACGTAGAGAGCCAGCTCTTGAAACTGTCTTCTGACTTTCCCAAGTGTGCTTTGACACGTACACACACGGTGGTGGTGGGGAGGATTTAAAATACATTTTTTAAAAATTTTAGCGATAATAATTACATTATTTTTCCTTTTCCTTTTCTCCCTCTAAATCCTTTCATGTACCTCCCCTTGCTCTCTTTCAAATTCCTGGCCAATTTTTTTTAATTGTTGGTGTGTGTGTGTGTGTGTGTGTGTGTGTGTGTGTGTGTGTGTGTGTGTGTGTTCTTGGATTCATAAATATAACCTGCCCAGTCCTATGTTACTTGTATCCACATGTTTTCAGGGCAGACCGGTTGGTATTGATGACCAGCTGGTGTGTTCTTTCCCAGGAAGATAGTCCTCCCACTCCATAGGAACTTCCCTCTTCCACATTAGCATGTCTGTTGGTGTCTTTGTTTGGTTGTGTTTAGGCAGCCATGTTGGCAAGACTTCTTGGGTATAGCTTCTGACATGTCTAGAAGACACAGTCTTACAGCAAGTGGAAGTTTAAAAATTAAAAACAAAAACCCAAACACCAAGCAAGGTGAAGGAGCTCATGAGGCTTCCCCTCTCCCTGAGGGTCTGTAAGTGGTGGTGCAGCCACCAGTAAGTAACCATGCTCCTGTGACTTGCCTTTCACCCCTGCTTCTCTTACCCACTGTAATGAAACTCACAGAAATCAGAGGGATCGCAGGTAGGAGGGCATGAAAGAGGATCAGAAATTTCATATGCAGTTATCACTACGTGTACTTAATGTGTCCTAATACATAACGTTCCTTAAAGTTTTATTTTCATTTATGTGTCTGTCTGCATGTTGGTGTGTACATGCACGTGGGTGCCCACAGAGGCTAGAAGAGGGCGTCAGATCACCTGGAGACATGGCTCAGTGGTTAAGAGCACTGCTGCTCTTTTAGAACCCACGTTCCCAGCACCCATGTCAAGGCAGATCACAAACGCCTTTCACTCCAGTCCCTGGGGATCTGATACTCTCTTCTGGTCTTCATGGTTTTATATATACACATATGCACGTAGATATACACATATATACATAGAGGGAGATACACATAAAAATTTTTAGATTAAAAGAAATTTGTTTTTCCATAAAGTGGAAAGCCTGCAAGCCTGAAGACTTATGTTCAGTCACCACCACCCATATAAAAAGTTTGATGTAGTGGCATGTACACTTGTAATTCCAGTCCTGGTGATGCACACATAAAAGGACCCTAAGGCTTGCCAGTCAGCCACACTAACCTGTTGGGTAAACCCCAGGCCCCAGTGGGAGATCCTGTCTCGAAAGAAAAGGTGGGATTGGCAAGATGGTTCAAGCCTGATGACCCGTCTTGTGTGCACCAAACCCACGTTACAGGTGGAAGGAGAGTACCACCAACTCACAAGTTGTCCTCTGACCTCCCCATCACATGCACAATAATAATAAATATCCTTTTAATTTAAGTTTTAAAAGGGCTAAGTTGGGCAGTTCCTGGAGATTGACATTCAAGGTTGACCCCTTGCCTACACACACACACACACACACACACACGAATTATTTCTTCCTCTTATTTTCTAAGATCTCTGTTTAGATACTAAATTCACTTAATAGATCTTACGATTTTGTATTACTGGCCTGTTGCAGCTCCCACTGTGAAAGTACAGCAGTTTGTTAATTAATCAGGTCACCTATGATCAGATGTAGGTCTGCTTGAGCAAAAATGACCAGTGATTTTAGAAACATAGAGCAGAGTCATTTAAGAGGACTTTGTGGCTCCTCGGACTGGAGAGAAATGTTCTCCTTTCCTCTCAGTCTTAATCTATAGCCGACAGTAGACTTTACTACAGAGGGCATCTTAGACATGCTTTTTTTCACGTCTTTGTACTGGTGTGAATGCATATGACTTGTCTGTAGTGAGAAGATGTAATTATCATCGATGACATTTACTTTTGTTGTGATACATTTTCTCTAATTGCTGGTTTGTGCGGGTAGGATTTTCTGGTCCTGGTGAGTAATGGCCTATTCATGCTTTCTCAACCCCGTCAGACATGGCAAGCTTCACAGTGCCTGCTCTGGACACACAGCCTGCTGGAGAAAGATTGGCTTTGCCAGAGACCTCACGTGTGCACATTAAAGTGAAGGGGGACAGTGACAAACTGTGTCTGATAGTGCCTGACTTCTTCAGTCTGAAATCCTTGATGTATAATGTCTTCTTTGCAGCGAGACGGGAGAGCCTGATCGCCACCCCAGCATGTTCCTCTTGCTCTTGGTGCTGGAGAGACTCTACCCATCTCCGATGGATGGCACGTCGTCTGCACTCAGCTTGGCACCCTTTGTTCCTTTCATTATCAGGTAGTGTCCTGGTATAGGGGACTTGAGGGAAATGCCTTATCTTGTTCTTGTTTGGGGAATTATAAGTAGCATATTGTCTTAGGAAGCCATTGTGTGAAATGGGGCCAGTGAGGCTTTCTACCATGCTCCTGCCTGGTGGCTAGTGCTTCAGAGGAAGGTGCTTAGACTGTGGGTGTGGTGCAGGCTCCTGAGAACCTGCAGTGTTGGTAGCGTTTCCCTTGGAGCCCTGCTGATGGGTGTGTGGTGTTGACAGGAGATAGCTCTTTTGAAAACACTGCCTAGGGTTCGCATTGTACTCTACTAGGCCAGCCAACACATGTGTGGAGCAGGCCTGATCCTAGCGTCCGTTCCCGTCCTGTGGTGTACAAGACTGTCAGAACATCTATCTGGCTCTTGACTCTGGAGGAGTCAGAGCATTCAGGGCCTGGCATGCCTGTGCCAGTGCCACATAGCCCATGGTCCCAATTACCTTCTCATTCAAACTTGGAGTGCTTACAAAGATCTCCAAGCATAGAGTGCATGTGGACACACACCAACTACAGCTGTTCTTGCTACAGCTTCTTTGGAGGGACCAAAGGCTCTGTTACCTCTGTGGAGGTGTCTGTCACCGTCTGATCACTTTTATTTTGGATGACGCACCTTAACATGCCGGCCTCCAAAAAACATTTGTATTGTCTAGCCGTCATAGTTTTAACAGTTTTCGCGTTTCTCCTTAATTTCTTGTCTAGTTGGTGCGTTTAATGTATCTACCGAAAGATCGAAATGGACTTGGACAAAAACATGAAACTTGAGAGAGTGTGTTTATTGTTTGTGTGGTACTTTGGGCTCTGTTTCCTGGTCTCACGTAGCTGACTTACGCATTTCCATGTGAGAAACCATTAAACACAAGATTCTGACATGTGATTGCTCTGACCATTTGTTTGCCAGAGCCGGAGCTGTGGCTGTGTTATCTTTGATCACAGAGATGACTCACTCAGACGGGTTTCTGTTTCCTGATACACAGTTACTGACTGCCTCATTCAGCATTTGGTGATTCATTTTAGAAATTTGGGTGGTAAATTTTACTTTCAAGAGCCTTAACAGTGTTCTCTTTCATGAACACTTGTAGGAGGAAGGTGGGGGCTAAGTGGTGTTTTCAGAAAGTCGACACAAGGGGAAAGGTACAAGCAGAGAACCACAGTGTACATTAGAAACCAGGATATGCCATGGGCCCTCATCGTCTGCCTTGAGAACACTTGCTTTGCAGAGGCTTTTATAAACTTTCTGTGGTCTGCTGCTCCTAGAAGCAGGAAGTTGCTGCATTGAAAATATCCTTCCAAATGAACCTGTTTATATATCATCTGAGTATATACATGGTCTTGAGAAATAGTCAAAGATTACATTAATATAGAAGATTTAAACATTATTCTGAAACCAGGTTGTTGGGAGCAGTGAAGTCCTTAGTGTGTTGTTAATGTGCATGTGGCCATGTCAGTGACCCCAGTACCTCAGACCCATGGGAATGGCAAAACCTTTCCCTGGATGAAGCCTAGAGGTATGACAAAGCCTTTCACCCTTGTGGCCATGGTGATAGTGTCTGCAGGAAAAGTTCAGAGCTGCTCCCCACGACCCACATTGTGAGCCCAACCAGGTTCATGGCCTGAAGACTGCTCCTTTACAAAGACTGCTCCTATCGAGATGAGCTAAACCTGCCTCCTTTTTCAGTTGTGTATAATAACCCTGCCTTCTTGTTTATCTTATGTAGTAACCCTGCGTCCTTCTTCAGCTAGCTGTATGCAACACTCTCATCTCGCGGTTCAAATGTAAATACGTATAACTATATAATAAACACACTAAGCTTCCAATGTGCTATTACAGAGTCTACTACCTGATCCTAGATTTTCTCTGTCTGTGTGTCTTGTCTGTCCATTCCGCATTCCCTCATTGCACCTAGTTAGGGTTCTAGGGCTCAAACTGTGCAAGGATGTGGCACCAGATTAGAACACAGTTTGGGTTAGTTTATTTGATTCATTTGTGTTACTTGGTTTTACAGTGTTGGGGATCAAACCCAGGGCCTTGCTCATGCTTGGTAGGTACTCTACCATTGAACTGCATTCCAGCCCTGTATGTTTAAAAATCTACCCAAAAGATCTGGAAAGATGGTCCAGCAATTAAGAACACTTCTTAGCCGGGCGGTGGTGATGCACGCCTTTAATCCCAGCACTCGGGAGGCAGAGCCAGGTGGATCTCTGTGAGTTCAAGGCCAGCCTGGGCTACCAAGTGAGTCCCAGGAAAGGCGCAAAGCTACACAGAGAAACCCTGTCTCGAAAAACCAAAAAAAAAAAAAAAATAAATAAAAATAAAGAACACTTCTTATCAGCCGCGCGGTGGTGGCCCATGCCTTTAATCCCAGCACTCAGGAGGCAGAGCCAGGGGGAATCTCTGTGAATTCGAGGCCAGCCTGGTCTACAGAGCAAGATCCAGGAAAGGCGCAAAGCTACACAGAGAAACCCTGTCTCGAAAAACAAAACAACAACAACAACAACAAAAAAAAAAAAAAAACACTTGTTATCAAAGCAGACCAAGGTTTGGGTCCCAGAATTCATTTGATGACTCACAACTGCCTGTAATTCTAGTTCCAGGGAATCCAACACCCTTTTTTGATCTCCATGGGCATTAGGCATGCACATGATGCACACACATACATGCCAGCAGAGCACCCATACACATAAAATAAATAAATCTAAGAGATTTTTAAAGAAAGAGTCTGCCCAAGCTTGTTTCTCTGTCAGCATGAATCTTAGAAATTACTAATTGGGATTTTCCATGTTCTGTGTGGGTACTGTTAGGACTGTTACACTGTCTTGGAACAGAAATGCTCATATTAGCCCCAGCATCTTGTTTACAGTTTTTAAGGTCTTGTGTATTTTTCTGTTCTCCATCCAGATACACAGCCCTTTCCCACATTAATGAGGTGCCTTTCATTTAAGACCATTCACCCTTCAGTTGCAGTAGCACAGAATATTCATGTTTTAAAAGGAACCCAAGTGGCTTTCTGAATGTAGCTCATCAGTGCCTACTTGTCTGGCTTTCTAGAGGCCAGAGGTCTTTTTTGAGGCCAAAAGGGGCCAGGAGTCTTTGAGTTCCCTTTCACAGGCAAGTTCGAGCTTCCAGTGGAAAATTCCAGGAAACCACATAGTACCATCCTAGAACCCTGACTGGAGAGGCCTGAACAGAGCAAAGGCCCAGACTAAGGAGACATGGTTCTGTGTGACTTCCCGCTGTGACACTGGCACCAAGCATTTATCCTGCCCTGGACTGACATGGTACTCTCTGTGTGTGCATAGTGCCTCCTCCCGCTAAAAAGGAGAGCTCAGGACCTCCCTAACCTGGAGAAATCTCCTCACTGCAGTTCACTGTTTGGAGAGCCCCTGTACAACGTCCTTCTCCCCGCCCCAGACCCTGCAGCCCCCCTTCTTTCAGCTTCATTTATTTTCAGTACCGATCTTCCCCAGTCCATTTGCTCGCTGTTCTCAGTTTCAAAATGATACCCGCTGTCTTTCTTTCTCTGGCAAATACTACGCACCAATGACAAAACCAATATGTACCCTTTGACATCATGCATAGAAACCTACGTGGGGGACATTTCACATTGAGATGTGAAATCATTGAGATGATCTAGTCAACAAGGGGTAGGGACGCTTGTGTTTCATGTATTTCAACACATTGCATGGAACCTTAGGACTAGACCAGTTTTACCAAAGAGGAAGGTAGAAATAGAAAAACCGAGAGTTGGTCCTTTTAGGCCTGTGACCTTGGGAAATAATACTGACTCTGATCTTGTTTCCCTTGAATATTGCATAATGCAGATGATTACATTGCACCTTCTCCAGGTTATAAAGCAAGGCAGTTTGTCTTCTGTGCTGGAGTATTGTGGGTCTTACAGGAAATAATAATGCGTTTCTATTTCACTTGAGATTCTGGTACCAGGAGCTCTCCTTTAAGTCTATGCATTATATTGCTGCTTTTGTTTTTTGGATTTGTTGTTGTTGTTGTTTATTTGTGTTTGTTTTGAGATGGATTCTCCTGCAGCCCAGACTTTCCTGAACTTTGTATGTAGCCTAGATGATCCTCTTGCCTCCACTTCCCAAGCACCCAGATAATGGGCATGTGCCAGTGTGCCAAGTTTATGCAGTGCTAGGAATTGAACTCAGGAATTAACTACGTGCCATGCATCTATACATTTTATTTGTACTTGCTCTGATTTCCCAGACTCCTTTTAGGTAAGTAGAGGGCAACATTTGCTTTCTAGAGACAAAAGAGGCAAGCAGCATGGTTCCGGCATCACCAGGGTGGAAGTCTGGGCTGCTCCTTTCCTGTGCACTGGGCTCCTGATGGCTGCTCTCCTTCCTTGTCATTACCACCGTTAGATTATACTGTAATGCTCAGTGCTCGCTCCTCGTCATAAACTGTGATCTCCTAACATGCAAACAGCTAGTGGCATTGGTGTTTGGGGGCCCTTTCTTCTACCTAGTACAGGTTTGGGCACTGAGTTAAATTGAGTAATGCAGAAATGAAACTAGCTTAGAGTCAAAACTGTGTGTGTGAGCAGATTTGTGTATTCTGAAGAATTCAAGGACTCCCAGCCTTGTATTAGTGGAACTGCATGTTGTAGCCATGGTCATGGTTTATATAGAAGGAGCCTCAGCCGGGTTCCATGTTTTACCTGGCCTTTGAGGAGCCCTCTGTTCTATTAGGAGCTTTGACATTTGCTTATATTTTGATTCGCCTCTCTGACTTTCTGTTTCCTTTTCAAACAAGTTTCAATCAAATTAAGCTCTTGGACTGAATGTTACCTTGGTCCTCTCTGGCCTCATGAGCCTTGACCTTTCCGGATTATGAACTCCTCCCTATCTGTCCATTAGAGGGGCCCTGTGAAAGTCTTGACTTTCAGTACCCTGCTGCAGGGGTTAGGGTCATAGAAGAGAAGCCTGAATGGATAAGGATAGAAGAAGAGGCAC